GATAAGAAATCTAGAGAATAGTTCAGGTATAACACTCATCACATGCAGTTACACACAAACATACAGCGTAGGATGGGATAAGATGACAATTTTAAAATCTAATGTTACAGCGTGGAGGGAAAGACTGAAATCGGATCAGATCGATTGCAACCACGTGTAATAGGAGTGATTCAACACCTGTCCATCCAGATATCTGGAAAATTCTACTACCCCAACGACGACGAATAGGAGAGAACAAAGAAGACAATAAAACTCATGTTTCGAAGTCGTGTGTTTATAATTGATATGATTATGAACAGTAATAAATTTTGTTCGCAACATCATCCAGTGAATAATAATACTGTTTCACTGATTGTATGATACATCTAATAAACAAACTAATATGGAATTATTTACTACTACAGTGCCCAAGTTTTACGTATATATCAAGAGCCATTTCACCTTCATTTGAGATGCTTCAACACCATGCCCAAGCCAAGACCTTCCAGTTACGAGACGAGCTTGTAGACTACTCAGTTATTGGGGCCTGGTAGAATGAATTGCCCATAAACTCCATCTTCTGGAAATTCGCGACCAGCTCCATGCAGGAAGTTACCTAGAATTACATTAAGAAGTCGTGACCAGCGTTTTCTATCATCTCAGGTTGGCTCGTTGTGACCTAATTGCGACTGCAGGTGATTGTTTGGTAACATTGATCGTGGCGCTAACGAAAAGTAGTGCAGTCAGGCGGTATGGAAGGCTGCAGTAGTAGTTGGATTTATACAAAACCTGTCCCAGAGATAATTGAAAATTACTATAACTAGTAGAATCAGGGTATCAGAAGTCACATGACTACAAAATCAAAACCTGAAAGTAAGGCAGTCACGCCTTAATATAATTAGGAGCAATGAATTGTGCTCAAAACATCATTAGTAAATGAACATATTACTGTATCGTCGTGTGTTAGCTGTATCAATTGAAATTATTCTGTTTTCGAATAATACTTCACTACATATACCGAATTTGATTCTTATAGCATGGAAATTCATAGCCTCATGGATAAAAGAATATAACCTTGGCACTTTCGTAGAGCATAATTTCATTGTAGAATAAATTTATTCGACAAAAGTACTATTCGCTTACTGATATCATCTCAAGTACAGTTTATTTTAATTGCTTATAATTAAATCAGGCCACTCACTCACTCACACAACTTTCAAACTTCCTTTGTATATAATTTTATCATTCTTTATTCTCTGATCTTATTGGCGGGAATATTTCCCATATATCTCTGGTATTGACACTGCGTCATTTCTATTGCATATACTAGCTGCAGATACGACGAATAAAGATTCAAAGATCAACTTCTGCCTCAACCTATTTGTGTCCCTTTTTTTAGAAATCTAGCTCTGTCCCAGTTTATTCTGTGGTTTCGTGTCAGCACATGCCTTTCTATTACTTAGTTTTCCCCTAAACTATTCATCTGTGTGGGATCTTACGTTTCTATAATCTGACTGCTCCCAACTCACTGGTCTCACCTACGTAGCTGACCTTAAAGCCATCGCAAGTAGGGTTAGATTCATAGTTATTCGCTTAAGAAATTCTCTCGGTTTTGCAATTATGTATAACTGCTCTGAGGACATGTGTAAGTGATTTTGATGTGGTTGTGTTCTCTAAGCGGGATAGTTAGTTTTCGAAGCTTTCATTGCCCTACTAGGTAACATCTCCAGTGCATACGTCAATCTGAAGTTCACTGAAGTGCACTGTCACCTCAAACTTTGTGAATTTTGTTAATTCCGAATTTGATTTTATTTTTTGTCAGTATATTTTGTCAAAGTAACCTGCCAGAATTCAGCTTTGTAAGCTAGGCTGAAAAGACTAAACCTCTGATAAACATGGCCGCATATACGCGAAACAGTCATCTGGGGATTTAGATTACTACGATATGGCTAGTGTGCATTTGTGTTTTGCGTGAGCGATTTCTAACTATTTAAATCAATTATTAGTTGTGTATCATTTCTCTCAAGTCTGTGTGGAGATCAACACTCATCACTAAGCTGCATGAAAAATAAGATGCGGATTTTCAACTTCAATGTGAAGTCAGAGCAATTTACTATACGGATCAGAGACTTGGCGCATCATAAAGAGCATCTCAAACAAACTACAGACCTTCACTCAACAGTTATCTTCGCTCAATGCTCAAGATCAGATGACCAGAAAAGATCAGCAACAGGGATCTCTGAGAGCAAACCAATCCAGCAAGGACCGATTGCGTAACAAATATAGAGGAAGAAATGGAGATGGATTGGCCATACTCTGAGAAAACAAACCATCAAGTGACATCACACGCAAGGCCATCGGTCGAGTGAAACCCAGCCGAATGGAAAGCAGCGAGTTGGTCGTCGTCGTTGCAAGAGTGACATGGAGGGGGTCATGTGAAGAGGCGATAAATGCATATAGGCAGACATGGAACCAGGTGAAAACCTTGGCAGAGAACCGAAGGCAATGGATACGTTCGGCTGAAGCCCTATGTTCCTCTAGGAACTAAAGGAAACAGTAATAATAATATAATATAGTTGTGTATCGTCATACTATATCTATTGTCTTCTTGATTACTACTCGTGACAGTATCAAGTAGATTATATATTGTGATCTAACATATTTTTGTCTCCTGAAGAGGATTCTAGTGGGTTTCATTCTTGAACTGGATAATTTGCTAATTACGAATTCAACTTTAACTAGTAATGAAATAAAAAAGCAATTATAAATATTCAGCAGCTGATTTATAAGAATTTGATTTGTTTTTCAAGTTTGACCAGGATTGATATCACAGTTAGAGAACCATTGAAAACCAACAGGGAGTACTGGACAGCTGTTTCATCAGCCTAGTTTCTGACTCATCGGCAGTAAACACGCGATGGATTTTGAACCCAAGACTAGGAATGAGAATGGAGTTCCGACCGACGATATTGGTTGGTGGTCGCATTAAAATTCACGAATTGGTAAAAGTTAGAATTCATGCACTGGTTATGGAGTCGTGTCCCAGTGGCTGAATGGTATACAAAGTTGACTTGTAATCGGAAGGTCCTGCTTTCGAACCCCTGTGGTGAGTGCGTAATGCCGATGAGGCACGGACTAGGATGAAACAACTGACCAGTACTTCCTTCTGGTTTTCAATGGTTCTCTAACTGATATCATTCCGTGATCAAACTCGTAAAAATAGAAATATGTAATTTCAACGTTAATTTCAACATGAACGAAAAACCACAGTGCATTGGATGGTTGTTTCATGCTAGTCTGAGACTATTCTGAGATGTACACCAATGACACGACTATGAATCGAACTCAGGATCTTCAGATTACGCAACCGTGTTCACTGACCATTTAGTCAGTTGGGTCAGGATTAAATAAATCATGATTTCCAACTTATGTCATGTCATAGATGACCGTTCACTTCACCCCACTTCACACATGGTAGACCCCTCCAGTCATCACTTCTCAGTCAGTACAACTGTTATCATCAAGCAGTTGAACAGCGATATTTACAGTATGGGATTTCGCAGGTGTCTGAATTAATTTCAATAAAAATTTCGTCACAAATAGACGCCTGTAAAATCTACAGATACCCAGTTTTCCAGTGGTCACCTCTGAATGGCGTATGTTCATGAGTAAGTTTACATTGGCAATAATCAATATCTTCACGCAAACTCATAATCCAACCACTTAATTCCCGTGTTTTTATGGATTTCGATAATAATGTGAATACAAGATGAAGAAATTATACATTCTCAACCGTCATTTACACATACCAAAACAAGTGATTCAGTGAAGGGACCCTTTTCAACGAATTGATCATCATCAAGCTGTACAATCGTATATATATATATATATATATATATATATATATATATATATATATATATATATGGTGTTTTTAAGAAGTTATATCCAGTGAGGGAATTGAATCATACGTGTGAATGCAAAAAATAATAATAATAGTAGTATGAAATGCAATTAAAAACTAAAATGTTTGTGATTATAAACATAGTTAAATGTCAAGTGACAAAGTAAATTAATGTCATATATGGAATAATTCATTGGATGGATAGAACTTGAAAAAGGGTGTGCAATTATAGGATTAGTAGACTAATTGAATAACATAAAAATAAAGACGTTACGTAATATTGTGTGAAATTGAATAGCATAGAATTTAACGTTTAAGTCTTTAGGCCTTTGAAGTCATCTACAAGGTGAAAAGTAATTTACCGAAATCACTACATACCCGACTCATCTGTATTGGTGGAGCTTTGGCTATTGAAACAGAAAAGCCAGATCTCTTTGTACAGAAAAATTTCGTTCATCCCCTCCAACTTTCATGGTCTTAATCCCTCTATGCTAAAGTGTGGTAATCCCTAATCATATATTGGCCTTACCAACGTTTCATTTTTTCACGTGGTCTATTCAGTTTGTATTCTCTTCCTTTATTACGTCAATTGTTACTATAACTATTCTCACTTTGATCTGTCCCCGGTATTATTTCACTTGTTCCACTTGTCATTCCAAATCACTTCTTCCTTTTACAACATTAAATTCTATGCTATTAAATTTCACACAATATTACGTAACGTCTTTATTTTTATGTTATTCAATTTGTCTACTAATCCTATAATTGCACACCCTTTTTCAAGTTCTATCCATCCAATGAATTATTCCATATATGACATTAATTTACTTTGTCACTTGGCATTTAACTATGTTTATAATCACAAACATTTTAGTTTTTAATTGCATTTCATACTACTATTATTATTATTTTATGCATTCACACGTATGATTCAATTCCCTCACCGGATATAACTTCTTAAAAACACCATATATATATACGATTGTACAGCTTGATGATGATAAATTCGTTGAAAAGGGTCCCTTCACTGAATCACCACTTGTTTTGATTTTCTGTATGTTACAGTGGGAATTTTCCATGAGTTACATATATATACACACAGAATATTCAAACTCACTTTGATTCACGAAATGGTAAATTAAATAATACAGGGATAAAGAAGTATCACTGAGTTGTCTACTGTCAGTGTGATATTCGGGAAAATGTATTACGCAAGACTTCAGTACTGTGGCTTTATAAATATGTATATATATTCATATTTATACATGTATTGAACTATTTTTAGTCTCTCGTATAAAATGAGGCCACTTCAGGTTGAGAAAATACTCTCAGACCAGCCTATCAGCATAGCATGACTACAAATAACAATATGGGTGGTAGGTTTAGACAATTATTTCAATGCACACACACACATACACACAAACACCCACACAATAATTTACTATTACTGTGATGAGTTTATTTTTAGTGCAACACGGTGGTGATGCAGTATTAATAACTGGAATGACAAGGTGGTTTTGAGCATAAACTATTACTGCTTATAATCAGATCAATTTTAGTCACACACGTTTTCTCTGTTTGTGTATCTCCAACTATCCTTTGATGTTTTGCTGGCATATTTCACATCTCCGGTACACAGGCATTACGTTGCGTTGCGTCATTCCGATTGTACGTGTGAAGTGTCGAATCGATAAACAAAGCTTCAGTCAGTGATTAATCTCTTTCTACCTCTCCACCTAACTATATTACCTTTTAATACACTCTCACTCTGTCCCACCTAACCTGTTTTGTGGAAATTCAATTAGAAAAAGTTTAAAAAGTAAATTAGTTTTGAAATAACCAGTTTGTATGACCAATATTTCCAGTTAGGAATGAATTGAACATTGATCCTGAACTCAAAAGTAGGACTAAGCTATCGCTCAGTTGATGAAATAATATTAGGTGTTCAGTAATGTCAAATTTCAAAATAAACCTTATAAATAAACGAATAGGGTGGTTATAGGATCATCAGTATCCCCGGTAGTAAGTAGCAGACATATTTTTACGAACAGTTAGGTACATAAAGCTCTTGGAACGTTTAATCCTACTCGTAGGTTATGATCGAGATGTGTGGATGTCACATTCACTGTATTGAAATCTGGACACATCCCCCAGTTCTGCAAACACACATAAACTCAACAGTACGTGGAATGCAATTCACTTTTGAGTAAGAAAACGAACAGGTTGAGTTGGTCATTCTAGACTGTAGAATAAAACGAAAACAAGATGGTGGGTTAGGTAAACACTAGTATTCAGAGAAAACCGATACACTTTAATAAATACTTAGACTTTAATTCATCCCATCTAGAATCGGTGGCAAAGATAGGTTTAGTTGAATGTCTGTATAATCAGGCTAAGAGCATAACTGGTAGGCCAGAAGATTTAAATAATGAAATCAAACAAATAGGAAAGGAAATATTATTAGTGATTCACTAACTACTCACCACAATTCATTCAGAAATATCTGAGGAACCATAGAAAAACTCAGATTAGTAATAAAAATGACTAAAATAACTAAAATGGTGTAGAATACAAAGCCTGTGTAATACTGTCGTATAAAGAAGGAACGTCAGAGGCCTTACGTAGGACTCTCAATGAGGCTGGAATTAGTTGGGGTGGCATTTAAACCAACCAACCAATCAACTCTTTCAGAGATAAACTTTGTCGGCTTAAGGACTCAATAGATTCAATTAAGAAAAATGATATAATTTGCCAAATACCCTGTAATGACTGTGAGGTCAATTACATAGGTGAAACTAGTAGATCGGGGTGAACAAGATTATTGGGACATGAGCATTTAGCTAGATCTAGAATAGTTCACCCTGCTAAATTAAATAACCTAGAAAAAACGGAGCTCAGTCATTGCACTGAATTCACTTGCATGTAATCACATACAATATGGCGGATGGGACACGGTGAGAGTATTAAAATGTTATATAGTAAGGTGGAGGTAGAGAGTGGTTAATCACTGACTGAAGCTTTGATTATCGATTCAACACGGCACACGTGCAATCAGAATGACGTAGTGCACTGTCTATACTACAGGTATGGAATGTGGCAACAAACAACAAAGGGAAGTTGGAAGAAGAGACAGAATAGAGAGAATATATGTATAAAAGACAAATTATGAAATCGTGTGACTAAAATTGATATGATTATTATTATTTCCTTACATTCCTAGAGGAACATAGGGCTTCAGCCGCGCTTCTCCATTGCCTTCGGTTTTCTGGATTACTTGGCAAGCAGCATTGTTGTATAACTGTTGGATGAGATGCATAATTGTCGATGGGACCCTGTAGTAGCGAAGTAGTTGCCAAATCACCTCTCAATCGACTCCATTGAAGTCCTTTTCAAAGTCGATGAAGTTGAGTGAGGTAGAGAGGTGACTACCATTCCAAGCTTTGTTCAGTGATGATCCTTAGTGTGGCGATTTGATCAATACATGACTTGTTTCTCCTGAATCTAGCCTGTTCCGGTCGAAGTTTTTCATCCAGTTTGGCGTGTTTGATTCGCTCCAGGATGATGTGGCTTAGTATTTTGCTTGGGATGGACAGGATCAATAATGCAGCGCCAGTTTTTGCATTGACTTAAGTCTCTTTTCTTTGACAGTTTGGATAAGTATCATTTCTTCCAATCCTTGATATGATTATGAACAGTAATAATTTATGGCCATCCAATTGTTAATAATGAATCTGCATCACTGTGTGTCATATTTAAAATAACCTTATCTAATTTAAAATTACATTCTACCACAGTTCTCATATTCTACACTTACATTAATTATCGCGATGAATTAATTCCTAGGCATTATTGTTTGTCAGTTCAACATTCTGTTATCTCCTCAGTATTAGTGGACTAATCAAAAGAGCTTCAAAACGATACTAAAGAATATGATAACGGAGAGGCTACTGACCTCTTTTTTTAGTCAATCATATGGGATTGAAATACACCGCGTACATTATCCTGATTGGCCAATACAACGAACAAACAAACAAACAACCTTGACATCGTTGCCAACGCCTCTAAAGATATGATGAGTTAATGAGTTTAAATGAAGTAAAATTTCACAAGTACACGCATATACGCTTTCAATTTTCGTCATTTGAGAAGAATTATTGATACAGTCATAGTCAGTTTATAACGTTGATTAACTTATACTAGGCACTGAACGTCTGAATTCACATGAAATCGGTCTAATAATAATTTAAAATCATGTGAAAACAAGACTTAGTGACGCATGTCAATCAATCAATCAATCAATCAATCAATCAATCAATATATATATATATATATATATCACATGTTGTAAAGATTATTTTTGATGCTTAGATGTAAGGTATCTTGTCGACACTGAAAAGCATTATTTTAAGTATAGTTCTATTTAAATATTAATTAGAGGTGAATAAACATATTTTCAAGTATTAGTTTTGTAGGGATTTTGTTCGATTGGATGGAGGATTTCATCATGAGCTTGAAAATCTAAGAGTATACTGGACAGCTCTTTTGCCAGCCTAGTATGGGACTCTTCAGTAGTACGCACCCACCACAGAGAGAGTTCCAACCCAAGACATTCTAGTTACAAGGTGAGCTAGCAGACTATTTTTTTGAGCTCATCCAGGGTGCTCTTGGTATTTTGACGCTGGATAACCTTAAAATTGAACAACTGTATGTTACATCCACAGTAAAGATAACTTTAAACAAAGATGTGAACATTCACAGTTCAAACTAAAATACAAAATGAAACCTTGGGTCCAAGGCTTCCTGTGGTCGATTGCCTCCAACTGTCACATATCATTATATAAATGTGTACCGCTATGGCTAGCTACCTAGAATGGTGGCCATATTGCAAGCCTGACTGATAGAATTCAGTCTGCACCAAAGAAAGCACTAGACACGTCACACTAGTTACTAGTGTCCAATCAAAGTACACTCTACAGTCCTACAGGAGGTCAATCGCGGGAACAAATAGCTCAGTGGTGGATATAATCTTGTTGACTACTAATACCTATAACCAACTGTTTGGCATTTTATGACCTTTTAACACTAACTCATATCTGTAATTGTATATATTGTTGGATTTATATGTTCAAGTTGGCCCAAGTCAATGAGTCTATGGTTTTGGTATCATTTTAGTTAACTATGCTTACCTATATTGTATGTTGTTGTATTGTATTGTTGCCGTCGCTTGTTGCCCTTTTTGCTATGAATTATTTTCCTTTTGCTGGTGTTGTTCTGATTGTTTTATTCCTTGTTTTCCGATTTTAAGGGGAGCAACCGACAAGGTCGCTTCTCTTTAAACTTTATCTTAATGTAACAATTCCTTTCTCAGGCGTGAGGCTAATCGTAATCAGAACAGACACAAAAACAGGAAATGTTTTGTTACTAAGGTGTTCAAGAGGATAGATTGATTAATATTAGCAGCCGTACTTATGACAGTTCATAACTTTCTGAATATCGACTTTCATAGGAAGGTGAAAACGAATTCAGAAGTTACAGGTTTACAAAACAATTAACTAATAGATGTTATCAACAAGATATCTGCATTTTGAGGGAGGGATGAACATAGTTATCTGCTCACATGAAACGCTGAACGAAGAACTCGGTAATATTCGTGACCGACTGAGTAGAAACGGATATCCGAATAAATTGTTGAAGAAACACATAAACTTGGCAAGTGAAAAGTCAAAAGTACTCACTATTCCCAGAAAATCAGTCTTTCTAAGACTACAATTCACGGTTGATGTCAATAGTGAGATCGTATCACGATGTATGAGAAGGGCCTTTCAAATGATTTTCAATGCGGTCAAGTTATACTGTATATTCACTAGCCAATCAATATTTAGTTCAAGAAATAAAGACAGACTGCCCTATTTCGCCTCCTCCATGTGTATTTGCCAGTTTAACTGCTCGTTCGGAGCAAGATACATTGAACTTAGGGTAATGTAAAATCATCGGTGAATTTCTGAACACCTCCCATCTTGGTTTGGCAATGATCCAAACAAAGCTGCTATGTGCAGCTCAATATTAGCTCATCTCGACGAGACTGACTGGACATCATGTTGACTTTAACAAAGCTTTCACAGTTATTTATGGTATTTCACTCAACTTTTCGAGGCATGGTCTACGAGTACGACGTTTACATGCAGCAGAGGCGATAGGAATTCATCTGAATAAGCCAAGTCTATGTGCTCAAAGTAAATTAGTTTAGCCTCTCTCTCTTTCTCATGGCCAACTATATAACTTAGATATCTTG